TAGGCCTTCTTTTATAGGGGAAAAATCCCCCCCAAACTTAACTCCCAACCAATGTGGGACTTTAGCATTTTGCCAAACTTCAACAGTATCATCCCTNCACTCCAAAAATACAAGTGAAATAATACTAAAGAGAGAAGATACAAATGCCTTAAACAGATGAGAAGGCAAATGAGAGGTGTGTTTCAATCCTAAACATTAGGCCTTCTTTTATAGGGGAAAAATCCCCCCCAAACTTAACTCCCAACCAATGTGGGACTTTAGCATTTTGCCAAACTTCAACTGGTAAAGCAAATTTTCAGACCAGGAAATTGAAGTATTTTATCTATATTTTCTGGACCAAATATGTACAGCTTTTGGGATTCTTGTTTTTTGGCTTTAAAGAAAAATGACTTACTAGCAATGGGATGAAATAGGTCTGAATAGAGTGAATAGATATAGAAGATTCATATACTCTACCTTAGCTAGTTTGGGTCTAAGGCATTGTTGTTGTTTTTGTTGTGTTCTTTGTTTGGAGGGTTCCTTTTTCTTTTTGGGCCCCTTTTTTCTTTTGTTTTGATGATTGCTCTGTCTGGACCAGCTTACGCACACCTCGATGATTACACTTACACTTGGTACCTGGCTACTTGCTAACTCCCACTAGCATACTGGGTAACTCTACCCACAAAGGCTTAGGCAGATGAGCACAAAGCACCTAGTCTTTTTCGCCTATGCTTGGATTTGAACTTGAGATATAATTGCTCTCTTCCCACTTCATTGGCCTCGAGGCCACACCTTGGGAGACAGTAAAAGAAGACTTTCCTTTTCTTCAAAAAAATAGAACTTTTATTTACACTGTGTTTTTTGGGTTTCCTGTTGCATGAACTCTTACCTTTGTAAATAGGGATTGTTGTTTCTCTAGCTCTTTATTATTACTGCTCTGAATTCCTTTCGTTCACTCTGCACTTTATCAAGCTTAACTTATGTGATCTCATGTTAATCAGTAGTAGAGTCCTTTTTTGGCTAGAATAAAAGGCTAACCAGGCTGTTGGATTTATATAATAGTAGAAATTAGAAAGAAAACAAACCTGGTTATTTTCTCATGTTTTATTGCTGAATTTTGATGTTTCTATATTCTTGCTGATTCTTGTGTTTATCAAATATTAGCAAAGTGAAGCTTCCTAATTCGTTTTCCTTGTCTTTTTCCTTTTCTCTTTTGCTCTTTTGCAGTCAGCCAATGGAATAGGATGCCCCTGTAAGTCAGCTTACTTTGCAAGTGTTTTGCCTATATATAGCTTTCATTATTGATTTCGTATTTTTCCCTTGGCTTATCCCTGTGTCGTTAACTATTTATATTTTAGGACCTTTCTACTGCTCAATTCTTGTTTTCTTTTCTCTCTTCTTTTTACCTTAGTGCCATTCAATTAGATTTTCTTTTGTTGGTACTTGGTAGCCATCACCCTTCCCGTATGCGCTATATCTAGTATTCTTTTTCTAAGAATAGGATTTACACCTCCCTCTTTCAGTAAGAACAAGAAATTGTTTGAGATAGTTTGAAGTCGTGATCGACATGGTTTTTTTAAACGTATCACATTGGCTATTGACATGTCTTTGGTTAAATCATTTGAGTTCATTACTCTTAAAATAAATGACAAAAACACTTAGAACTTTAAATAACAGTATAGCTTCTTTTTGTATTAAAGGCGGTTTTCGGGCCAACTTGCGGACACCTTCACTATTTCACAAGGTACATGCTACCTCTCACTAGCATTGTTACCTCTCCATAACACAATTACAGGTCTCACTAGCACGGTTATGGGGTAACGCTGCCACCAAGACTTAGGTAGATGGGAAGAATCACCTAATATTTTTATCCCTGTTGGTATTGGTATTTAAAAACTGGTCTTCGAGATTTATACCCACTTTATTGACCATTAGACCACACTCTTGGATGCTTCAAATAACATTATAGCTACCAAAAATTATTTGAAGATCCTTTATTGGTGGCTATGTAATATGGTGCAGCAACTGGGATGATGGTTATAGCATATGAACTTCAGTGCCTTTCTACAGCATCAGGTGCATTAAAAAATGAAGTATGTTATTTCTTCAATGTATTTTCCCTTTATATTTGCAAATTACGAAGTATAAAATATATTGGTTGAAGAAGTTGAACTAGAAGACTTTGTGTTCTAACCCTGGGTTGCACTCACCTCCATGCAAGTGTTGTCGAATCCCAAGTAGAGGTATTGCTGGATCTTTGACATTGCTTTGTTTTGATGGTGGTTGGAGTAATTTGAGTTGAATTGGGAGCTGCTGCTTCATTTCATCAGTCCATCTTTGAATTGCAATTCCCTTTTATCCTGCTATTATCCAATCTAGTGTTTGGTACACAAAATGTAAATGCTAAGGAAGTTTTTTGAATTCATTATGTGAAATTTATCAACAATTTAAAATAAATTTGGAACTTCAGAAAGGATTAACGCTATAATTTGGTCGTGTCATTTTGTAAATGAAATGCTGAGTGAGCTGTCATCTGGGGGTAATAATACCATGGTAAGAAGATTAATGGTAGGAAATGACAGCAAGAGAAATTTCATTTTTTTTTCCAAGCTAGGAATATGGACAGAAAAAATGGTTTGGTATTTGGTGAACGTTAAAAATGGTTAATAAATGAGATAATGGTCTTACAAAGAGGAATCATTTGTGTAATGTTGGATACAGATGATCGAAACTCAATGATAGGGACTAGGAAACAATTCTCATATGAAAATCTGCATGGTGTATTACTAATAGAGCTCGCCTCATGCCCCTGCCAGTGCGGAATAAGGAATTAGAGAATCATGTACATATACTGTTTTCCTTACATTTCTATGAAGCTATTTCCGTGTGCATACGGAAATGAATCATTTCCTCTATGTTTGTGCTTTTCTACTTGAGATACGTTTTGTGAGTGTTACACATTCATGATTTATTTCCAGATGGCCCAAGATTGGGCACATCCGTTTATTTTCCTGTATTTATCTGTTTTCCCTCATTTCTTTGTAATGCTAATTACACTTGTGCAATGTAGGTGAACCGGGTTTGATTTGGAGCGAAACTTGTGAAGCAGCTAGGAGTTGGACCGACTTGTATAACTTTTCGTATTCGGGAATTTACCTTGGTAGAACGACTTGATTAGTGGAGGATGCTGTAAGACTTGAAATAGGATTTTGCTGTTCTGCTACGTACTGTTATCTACTTCAGGGACCTTGTAAACATTGGAGTTTAAAGTGGTTTGTCTTGTATGTTGAATGTTATGATCGGCTAATGTGTAGGGTACCTACCTTTCATAACTCCAGATACAGTGCTCATCGAATGGGCTAGTATACTTACCATGATCGAGTTTGGGTATATGCGTCGGCAGGAACATGAAATAGGCGATTTTGAAATGGAGGTAAAGTTAACCAAATGAACGAATATGATAATAGGTAGAATAGCCTAAATGACACTTATACTTGTGTCACTTTGTAATTTCGGTCATTCTACTTAATTTGTTTTTATCCAAACTCTTTTACTTTATCAAAACTTATATTTTAAATCCTTCTGACCGATCATATGTGGCAACATTATGGTTGAGTTGGACAACAAGTGCGAACATAAAAAATTAGCCTAAGAAGAAAAAAAATAATAAAATGAAAAAAATAGTAAAATTTAAAGAAAGTAAANCCACCACATCCCGTTCTCCCTTCCAATTTTCACCATAAAATCATTTTACCTTGAACCTATTCTCATCCAACAGACAAAAAGTATTGTAATTTTTAGATTACACTTTTTTAAAGAGCAAAGTATGGGTTGTTCGATTTTAATGGAGAAGTGAATCTGGTTTTTTGAAGAAAAAAAATTGTTCAGTTTATCTAGGAATAAAGTGTGCTTTTTGTTAATACTAAGAAACCAATGGAGAATGAAGAGTGATCTCCAGATTTAAATGGTGTTCTCCGGTGGCCGGAGGAATTTTCCTGCGATGGCAGTGGTGGAATTGTTGGCGGTAAGGAGAAGAGATGGTGGAGTAGGGAAAAAAATGAAGATAAAGTCGGTAGTTTATTTTTCTATGTGACACTAGTAATGACGTGGCATCCTAAGTGTAGGAGATTATATTACATGCACTGGAACAAATGTAAGTGTTCAATTGGCAAAATATTAAGTTTGGGCACCGGGATGACAAAGTGGCATTAGTAAGCTATTCTGCCTTTATCATAAATGAAGCGTAACTTTTCACCCGTACCCGTTAAACCGCATTCTATTCATGGTTACAAGATAGTACATGGGTGGTTTGGGGTGGTTTGAATTGATGCATAAAATTCCGTTTTTATCTCTATAACGCTTGACTTTTAGTAAAAAAAAAATATTGTATTACCTAATATAATCTCTGTAGAATTAAAACTTAAAAAACTTTGCAGAAGTTAATCGGAGTTTAATATTGTGAATCAAATGATTTCTTACCAATTATAACCATACGTGAATTCGTGTATTATTACATAACTGTTAAAAAGTTGGATAATTGTGTGTACAACTAGTACATGAATAAGTGCATCTAAACTAAAAATGCTCCTATATTAGATAATTTATACGTGATAATTCATGTATTATTACTTTTTGCCTAACAATTTCGTATTGTCATTCATTGTATAATAATTTTTGAATTATTATCACTGCATTAAACAATTCTTGCATAACTAGATAATAAATCAAACGGCCCCGCCCTGACAGTATCTCCTAACTATATTACTGATAACATTAGAACTATAAATTGACGAGTTTAGCATCTATCTATATCTATATATATATATATATATAAAGCTGGGCATAGAAAAAGTGAGGTGACACCTCTCCCAAGCCAGCATTCTTATTTATCTATTTTCTCAGATTTTCACAAAATTTTTCCTTTTTTCCCCTTCTTCTATTTAATTACCTGTAAGTATTTAAAGCCTAGGCAGAAAATTTAAGTTACAATATTAATTTATATTCACACCTTTTAGAGTAAAAGCCTTTTCCCCTAAATTCTATCAGTTACACAATTACGCAAATATGATTTCTCAAATTCTTTCAGTTACAACTTCAATCCTCACTTCATTGCAGAATTTGAAAGGTCTCTTCACCCTTACATTTAACATCACTATATGAACAGAACATACTATATAAATAGAACACCACTAATGCATTCACAATCTCACTTTTTCATATCCAAATACAAACTTTGCCCAATGTGGATTAGCATAAATCCCAGATGGAAAGATGAATGAAGGCAAGAGACAACACTATTACTATCTATTCAATAACTCTCCGTCTCTTACTTCACTCTTCAAGTCATCCAACACCGGTCATATGGACTTCCGTAGAGAGACATCATATTATAGGGTGAAAGAAGAAGAAGAAGAAGGAGGAGGAGGAGGAGGAGGAGGAGGTAGGGGTCAGAATTGTTGTAAAAGTTTAGGCTTGAAACCACAATAAATTTGGGATATTTTGATGTATGAACTCTTATGTGAATGCAGTTTTTTTCTTTTGTCCTCTCCTTTTATATGAGAACTGATAAGAGTGTTTTAGAGAAATCTGATTTTTAGGGATTTTGCGTGAATTTAGGAAGAGAAAGTGGGAATTTATTCATATATGGGTTAATGGGAGGAAACAGAGGTACTAAGAATGACTAGAAGAAGGAAGGAAATCAGAGATTGTATATCCAGAGTCTGCCCAAAATGAAGTTTAATTTGAAAAGGATGATTCATTTAGTTGGTTTCATACACAAAATCGGCCAAAGTTGGCAGTTGGTTTCATTTAGTTGGCAGTTTTTACTTACTTTATTTATCCTTTTGTTTTTTGCTGCTTCCTTTTTTATTTTTTTGAAAATAGGAAAAAGGTACATCAAAAAAAATAACAATATACATAAGATAATACGTAAATTTTTTAAAGAAATCATCTTTCTAATATCTATTTTAAAAGAAGATCGGCTAAAATGCAGTTCATCCAACATATTAAATACTACATTCTTATTTCATTAATATGTAGAATCTCTTCTATCTACTAAATTTTGTATAATATTTATTTTTAAATTTAATAATAATTTTACTAGTTGTTAATAAATTAGACACTCCCATATGGGCAGTAACGGTAGGTTTAGTACAAACAGTCTCATTGATGAGTTTAAAGGTAATGATAAGGATTTCACTTGGATCTAACAACTCCACCTACCAAGATAAAAAATTTCTTATGGAAATGCTTTCACAATAAATTTCCTTGCAGTTCATGTTTAGGCCATATTCGCGTCAATGGATGCAACTTGTCTTGTGCGCAAAAATGAAGATGAAACCATAACTTATATCTTCATCACCTGTCCTGTTGTGAATGCCTTCCGGAAAAATAGGGCTTCACAAATCTCATTGCCACTGATCCTAAAAATTGGATCCTCAGCATAAAAGTTTTCAATATCACTCTTAATAATTATCTCATTTCGGAGAATCTTTTTCCTTTTGTTTTCTGGAGCATCTAGATCAATGGAAACAGTAATAATCAAAATAATACTAACTATTATCTATCTCTTAAGAATGTTTTCCATCAGGCAATGAAATTCAAATTTGTCACAGCTAGGGAACCTAACGGAAACATGAAAAACTCCATCGAAGTAAAATGCCTTAAACCACCTACTGGATGGTATAAGCTTAATACATATGGGGCTCTTAAAGCGACTAAACTGTGATGCGGACTTGGCGGAGTCATCCATAGAAGCTAAGGAGACTGGATGGTTGGCTTCAATGATATACATGCTGCTACTCCTATCCAGGCAGAAATGTAGCTTTGCAACGAGATCTTCAACTAGCATGTGACTTTCAACTATGGCCTTTGGAAATAGAAACTGATTCAACGGACGTGCTTCAATATTTTGAATATGATTATCCAATGTACAACATCATTATATGTGAATGCAGGTAGTTGATGCTCCAGCTGGAGAAGGTGTTGGTTAGGCATCGCTTTAAGCAAGCAAACCAAGTGTTCCATGTTTTCGCAAAGGAACCTTCTAAGGCTTTAAGCAGTCCAATCTAAATCAAGCTCTCGAGTTTGCAGTTCCACCCCCTTTTGTGGAAGCCTAGTTTCTAGAAGACAAAGGTATTACATATTGTGTTAGGTTTATTTCGGATAATGTACATGCTAAATTGGCTGAACTTGGGAACCAACATGTCCTAGGTGGCATAGCTACGGAATGTAATATGGCTACTGTTATCAGTATTAATAATATTAGTAATCCAATTTCTCAACAAAAATAAAAGAAGAAAAAACAGTACTCTGCACCGCCCTGACAGTGTTAGTTTTCTGTTTCTAGGGGTTAACATCCCCACTGTGCTATCAGAAGCTAAGATGCATTTCGTTTTGGCATGTGTTAATAGTTACAACGCAAATACTAGTGTAGATGATACTGTTACGGCCCAAAATCCATTAAAGGCCGTGGCGTCAGACACTACTGTTAGGTAAGTCAACACCAAGAAGTTAATTAACTCATTTCAGTATTTTTTTGAAATCGTTTCTCTTCCTTACATTAAACAATATATAATGAACTTCATTGAGTAAATAATGATGTCTTTAACCAATTTAAATACTAAAATAAAATTTCATAGTCATCCCAAAACCCGGTGTCACAAGTGCATGAGCAATTTCTAGGAATTTAAAATGTAATACAATAATTATCCGGAATACAAGTTGGACAGAAAAGAAAATGCAATACTCTGAAGGAGACTCTGTTGGTTGCGGGTCATCTCGGGAGATGCAGCTCACTTAAGTCTCTGTATCAACCATACCGCTACGCCCAACGAGGCCACTAGACGTACATGTGCATGTGCAACAAAAATGCACAGCAAGTGTAGTATGAGTACGAAATCAACGTGTACCCAGTAAGTATTCAGTCTAACCTTAAAGAAGTAGTAACGAGAGGTCGACTTCGACACTTACTAGTGGTCCAATAATATCAAATACAGTAGAGAAGTGAATAAATATGAAACAGAGTAAATATATAAGATAAACATGTATAAAATACGTGGTACAATTTCTTTCTTTACAATTTTGCTCAAGCTCTCAACTAGCAAGTTACCTCCGTAACCGGAGCATATATATAAAGCTATAGTGGATATCATCAAGAGGCTGTCATAAATCAAATCAGGTAAAAACCCTAGGATACACCGGCTTCTAGCCAAATATTACGCATGAATTCCATAAGAATGATGTATATATATATACATAGGAAATGCCGAGGCGTACGGCCCGATCAAACATAAAAGTAAATTGTGCACTACCGAGGGTTGAACAACGCGAACCATA